AACAAAAGTTCTTGTGAAACTTAAAAATGAATGAAAATCAACTGTTAGCTTGCAAGATCACAGATTCTGCATTAAATGTTTTATTTGTAAGAATTTAAAACTTGTGAACTTGAGTTTATAAGAGTTTGCATTCTTATGCCCAAAATGTTTTTAAGGATTACTTGCATTTATTTTAAAACTCAAAACAAAGTTACATGTGAGTGCAAAGAAATTAACTCAAGCTTAAATTACCCTATAGTATGTTGACATTTTTTATTCTAAGTGTTGTTATTTTATAGACTAATTCTCTGTTAGTGAAATGATAGTTACATTGTTATCATCTCTAAGAGTGATTCATATATTGTGGATGACCAAGTACTGTCTTAAAGATCTGTTTTTTAAAAACTGACTAATTTATAGGTATTTGAATCAAATCCTTAATTTTAAAGTTTCTTTGACTTGAATCAGGTTTTTACTAAAGTGACAGTTTTAAAATTTTACACCTTCTCTGAGATGGATTGGAGAATGTTCTTTATGGTATGAAAGATGTGTTTTACTGTCAGTGGCTCATAATGTACTTAGACACATTGTTCTCATGGAGATACATAGGGGAAAGAACTGTTGTAATGTGCATGTTTCTTTTGTTTCATCTTTAAGGAAAATAAACATGTTCCAAAAGACCCTATTAAAATAAATATTTGAATAAATTTCTGTTTCTATGTTGCTCTTAACTCCAAATATGTAAATATACATCTCGATTGGCGTTTAGTGGTTTGCTCTGTTGCATGAAATTGAAAGCCCACTTATTTGTTGACATCACCAATTATACGTAATAGAAGCTTATATTTTGGTATGTTTTGGATTCCATAAGAGCGAATATGTCATTTTATTTGAGGAGTGGCTCAATGTCTCTCAACACGTCAGAGCCAGCACAACAGTAGGACCCTTTCTGTGTGCAGAGACAGGAAGGCACACACACCTCCCAGCCTTAACCACAGCTCACTTGTACTAAAGCTACTGAAAATGAATTCTGTTTGTATTTTGGTGCTGAGGATTGAATGAAGGGCCTTGTGCATGCCATGCATGCACTCTACAACTGGCTGTAGCCCCAGCCCTGAAAATGAATTCTGATGCAAAAATATGATAGGAATACAAGAAGCTCACAGGATCTGGAGTTGGAGGAGACACTGAGACTGCTTTTCCCTTAAAAGATGAGGGTTCTCCCAGATCCAGAAGTTTTTCTGAGTCCTTCTAGCCCATCCATCATTTCCTCCTATTACCCCCAAAACTTCATCAGCACCTCTCTTCCTCATGCTGACACCTTTTTGTGTTCACTTCTGARACATTCCAGTTCATCTGTAAGCTCCTCCGTCTGCTGGCAAATTTAAAGGTTTACAAATAGGTTCTGTCATTTTAAAAAGCTTTGTAGTAAGTTTAAGTAGAGATCAGACAAACCACAACTTATTAAGAGRCTACAGGAAGCTGTTGAGCATTTAATACCTGTTTATAACACAAAGCAAAGCTAATTATGGTTTTATTAAGAAACATCTGTAATCTCTTTCTTAAACTGGTTTAGCAATAAATTTTGTAAAGTGTTTCAGCTGGGGATTTATTGTAGGCATGTAATTATGTAAATGTTCTTAGATCCCATGACACAAGGGGATTGYGGAGAACTGACCTAACTCTGTTATGAGGGGGAGATCTGACTTGTAACCGATTTTAAAGTCCTGCTCTTCCATACAGCAATCTTTGTTATGGTAATATTCACAAAAACAAGTTTACTAGCAAACAGATAACTTGGTGTTTCCTGGAGTACAACATCCACTGACTTGACATGGACTTGAGCTCTACTTCTTTCTTACCTAGACTTCAAACAGCCTCTACTAGCTTTGATAATAAGTACCCTAACTGGAAGATATTTTGGAATGCAGTGATATATTGTAGACATCTCCTAAAGGTCTTTTAGAATTTTCTTGTCTCTCTCTCTCTCTCTCTCTCTTTTTTTTTTTTTTTTCACTGATAATGTTTACACTTACTGAGCATCAGTTTTGATACCAGGCCCTTCATGCAGACCAAAACAATGAGAAATGTTTCTAAATCTCAAATATTTATAAATATGATACCTCTGGATGAAAACTTGTTAAACATCATTTGTATATTTTGTCCTTTGTAATGCTTTCTGCAATTAAATGTGCCTCAGTTATTTGCTATTTGGCTAACAAAACCTAAAAATACAGCTGTAAATAAAGCATRCTGTATGTTTGTTTCTTGCTTGGTTTGTTTCTGGTCTGATTATGTCTATTTTTTACTTAAGGAACTTTCATGTGGATAATACTCATAACCAGGGTRAGTTATGAGTTTTCTTCGGGTAATTATTAGAATTTGTAATAGTGACATTTAAATAGACTTTATTTGAAAAAGCTACTTGAAAACTGCAGTACATGCAATACCTATAGTGACATATATACAATTTTTTCCTGAAAATATATAATATTCAATATTGTCAAAGATTTTTGGAAGTTTTTCAAAATACATTTAACATTTTGTGAATTACATACTTTTTAATTTATTTCCATAAAGTTGTACTTTTATTTATAGAATATAAGACSAGATAATTTATAAATCAGTGTTACTAAGAACTAAAATATGATAATAGTATTCTTTATTTTGGTTTCTGATTGTGCTTTGCCTGAATGAAGGGATAATATGTCTTTCAATATTTTCATTAAAATTTTGAAATATTTGTATACTTTGTATGTGTACCATTTTAAATTACATGCAAGTTCTAAGCAATAATACGCATGCCATACAGGGTCAGCCTACATTGTCATGACTATTTAATACTAATTTTAAGAATGATAGAAGTCACATTATATAAACTACATCCCCATGAACACCTTTGGATTTTCTTGTGCTGGAACACTACTATAATGTAGTGCAAAGCTTTGTATTTTGTGGACAAAAATAAAATCAATTATTTAGTGCAAAAGTTTGTCTGCAAGGTGTATACTTCAATAGTAATGAATGAATTTGGTGAGATTATGTTCCTAAAATCAATCTCGTCTTGCCTAAAGGTAAGTTTTTATTTCTCAAGGTGTTTGAAGAGCTCATTAACCTTCCCTCCATCTCTCCTCTCTGGGATCCCAGCTTATAGCAAATCAGAAAGAGTTGCAAACATTTTAGTCATGCTTGCTAATGGAAGGAATGGTGCTATCTAATCAATAAGCCCTTTTAGATTAAGTAAAACTTTGGCAGTTAGGTTTTTAATCTCCTTCCCTTTGTCCCTTAGGCCTCTCATGTGGTCTAGTGATCTTTGCCAAATGTCTTGGCTGTAATCCCTACCTTCTCAAATGGCCTGTGGCATTCCTCCTGCATCTTGGTCTGAGAATACCTAGTAGGTCAGGAAGCTGAGCACTAATAGAATAGAATACTGAAGTTGTTTTTGCCCTCTGGAGAGTATCATGAGTCATGTTCAAAACATGCCTAAAATGTTGTGTCAAGACTGGCAAGGGAACAGCTGAATTTCAGAATGAAAATAGCAATCACAGCTGTTGGTGGAGAATAGGCCGCAGGTGAAAGGACAGGGATTTAGAATTGCTTGAAGCAAGTGGACACCTCAGGTTGTCTCATACTAATTCACCCCTTTATTCTTGTATCCTCTAGTCTTTACCAAAGTCTAATTTTTGCTTCTTCCTCCTTTTCCTCCCTGCTTCTCCCTTTTAATGATCCTTTAACATGCACAAATTAAGTGATTTGGTAAATTGGTAACTTTTCCCATGCTAGTAACTGATAATCTGACACATATTCCTGGATGCTCCCCCAAACAGGACTCTAAGGACCGTGTACACTACTTTGCCTGAATGGCTGTGCCTATCATCACTTGTGGCACAATGATCCTTGGTCTCCCTACCATTGCCAAATAGCCCTTTCCTCTCCCTCCTCCCTCCAGCTAAATTCCATGACTACATCTAATCTTGTCATTTTACCAGATCACCAGCATGAATTGCCTGAGCAAGGGAGAAATGCAAGGTAACAGCCATGAGGGGCTTCCTTTCTATCAAGGATCAAGGTCAAAGATCAGTGGAAATTTGCAAAGAAAAAAGGAAGGAGGAAAGGACTTCAGAAAACAGGAAAAATAAGAAAACTCCATGTATGTACACATTGCATTCTGGTTGACAGGAACTTCTCAAATAAAATTCTTATACATAGTATCTGTGTTTAAGAAGTTTTATGACTTTATATTAAAGTGCAACATGTATGAATATGTATGTATTATATATGCTCCATGTGTATGTATCTCTGTGTGTATCTAGATACACATTCAACTGCTGGTTTCATGATGTGGCCTGCAGTTTCAAAGTCACTTTTGTTTGAGAAAGTGCATATTTTTTCAGTGTTTGACCCACTTCCAATGACCAGATGCCTCTATGCAGAGGAAGGAATGAGGAGGAAGCACAGTGAARCCATAGTCCTAGTGGTTTACTGAGATTACAGAGAAGTATAAGTCCTGATCTGTAGTAGCTACCAAAACCCCAACAAC